AAACACGCTTCGTACAAAACCGGGCGATAGGGGCCTATTTCTGATCTCACGGCCCGGGGAAGAGCTCTCCTGCGGCTCGAGGAATTAACCCCGTGTAAATGGGTTCAGGATCTGCCTCCTGACGGGGATTTTACTTGGCAGTAGCCTGTAAAGACAAAATATCCGGGGGGGTTGGGGGGGGGGGGGTGGAGAGTGGAGTCGAGTGGGGGAACCTCTGGCAGTCCTATTTCAGCTTCCAGTGCCAGTGTGCGCTAGGTAAGAAGATGCTTACAGAACTGTAAGGTCTTCACCAGGACCGGACACAGACCTTTACTAGCGCTACGCCCACCGAAGAGAAGTCCTCTGCGGAGCAGCCCGTGGGGTGCGCGGCGGTGGTGTAGTCCCTTGCACCGGCCCCGCTCCAGCCCTTCTCCAGAGGGAGAGGGACTTCGAAACATGTGCTCCTAAATGAAAACCTCTTTCCATAAACCAACTGAAAACCCGCCCTTGAGCCCCGTAGAAACACACTGAGGCAGGCTGATCAGCCAGTGCGAGGGGTGCTACTCGCCAGTAAGGAACGGAGAGGGAAGGGCAGAAGGAATGGCCTTGACTCCACCGCCCCCCTCCCCCCCCCCCCTTGTATCAGTTTGTCTTTCAGTTTTTCAAAATGATTGAGCTTTTTGAAGAAGGCCCTTTAGAGGGAGAACAAAACCAGCAACAGCCTGCTTCCCCAAAAACAACATGAATATCAACCTGTCCTCTGGCAGGGCTTCAGAGCTCAGAGGCATTGCAATAAAATTTACGGCGTCCTTAACAACTCCCAAGTAAAAGCATTAAAATTCCCTTTAATTGAGAAAACATTGATTTTTAACTCTGGAAAGAAACTAACCCGTAATTTAATTGCAAACTTTCACCGACAGAGCAGCATCTCAGGGAGGCCACATTCCATCTTTAATAGAGCCACTTTATGAAGTGATAAAAACAAAGAAAACATGACAAACAGAGACAGTTGCAACTGCGAACGAAGTTATTTGCCTGCCCTTTCCCTCTTCGCAGCTCCAAACTATAGTAGTCTTCCATCCTCCTTCACACTCCACCCCTGATAACAAAACACAAGTATAAAAGAGAAGGATTTGGGATTCAGGGGAGAAGAGGTTGTTCGTTCTTTAAATAACGATTTACCTTTACCAGGCAAGGGGTAATGGCAAGAGGTTGGAGAGGACAATGTCACAAAATGGTAGCCTCTTTCTTTTTTTCTTCACCCCCCCCTCCCCCCTTTTCTTTTTCATTTTTTTCTTCTTTTCTTTCTTTTTATTTTTTTTTCCTTAAAAAAAGCCCCAAACCTAATCGGATAGAATTTCCTTACTTCCCTTGGTCGTTGCAAAAATCATCTCTAAAGGGAAGAGAAAGGGAAATCCCACCCTCTCTTTCTATCTTATTTCTGTATCGGTTTTTGGTATTATAGGAGAGTAAAGAAGTTTTTGTTTGGTGGTTTTTCATTGATCAGTCACTCTGAGCTAATGTAATTATCCTCATCAATAGAAGGCTGCAGAGAGAATCATTATGTGGGTGACATTGATAAATGATCACCCAAGAGTTGCCTTTTCTCTTGGGCACCCCCACATATGACCCTCCCACATACACAACGTAGCCATAGAAACACCTTGAGATCCTCAAACACTGCTGCAAATGGGAGAACACTGAGAAAGCGACAGAAATCCAACTTCAAGCACTTTCTACCCCTGCTGCCTCCTCATTCCTTGAGCAAGGAGCCACCGAGCCAGGCTCCGCGCCCCACCGCCCGGCCCCGCGCCCTCTCATGGCACCACAGTCAGTTTGGGGGGATGGGGACCATCCTATGGGGCTTCCTTCCATTTTTCCCCCTCTCTCCTCCTATTTTTCCTTTTCTGAGAGTTGAGCTCTGGGGTTACGCGCACCGCCTGGGTGAACTGCTCCTTACACCCACTGTGGAACCCCCTAGTTGGAAAGTCGCTCATGGAGATGCACATCTACAACATCCACCCCCTCCCCGGGAAAGGCGGCTCTTAGGAAATGGTTAAACCTGAATTATTAGCAGCATTTTTTTTTTTCAGTTGCAGGACTATACAAGGCAGTTCTTACTAAGGCAAACGTTAACGAGTTTTTTTTTCTTTCCTTTTTTTTTTTTTTTCCCAGCCGCAGACCCCCTTTTATGTAAGCAGATTCTAAAATATTGAGAGCAGTAATTGATTTATAGTGATCCATAAATCGATGAGAGGAAGGGGGCGAGGGTGTTTATTTATTTTATTCCTAAAGCTGCAAGGAAAGTAGCTCTGACACCGTGCGGGGACGAAGGGGAGGAGTTGTTTGGCTGTGAGGGGTCATCCATCATCACTGTCGCAGAGACTCTGCCCAGAAGAGCAACCTCCCTTCTGTCTGTCTCTTTCTTGCTATCAAAACTATTAATATTAAAATCTGTCTTCAAACCTTCCCCCCCCACACACACAAACCCCCATTCCCTCCTGTCCCACCCTCCCGACCTCGCCCCGTCCCGCTCCTCCCGGTGGTGCCTGCTTCTCCCTCCCGCACCGCCAGCGGGTTTTGTCTCCCCGAAGCTCTGTCAGCATGTTCCAAACCCGGCCCCGCGTCTCCTGGACCGAACCCAGGGCCCTGCGGGTCTGAGACCCCCGGTCCCATCGCGCCACTCCTGGGGAAAAGGCTTGGGCATTTCCTGGGTTGAACGGGTTCTCGTCCCAGTGCACGCCGCCGGCGGCAACCGGGCTGCTGCCTCCGAATCGCCCCTCCGAGGCGCCGCCGGGAGATCCTCTCTCCCCTCGGGAAGCCCTGGGAGCCGCTGGCACGATGGGCGAAACCAGCCGGCGGCACCGGCTGGGCGAGTGGCTCCGTGTGCTGCCTCCCCCGCAACCCCTTCCCACGCATGGCCCCGACCCCCGGCCCTCGCAAACCTGGTCTGGGGACACTTTTCTCTGCCTGGCTCCCTCTGCGGCTATGAGCGAGGGGAAGCGCCAGGCTCCTGGGCATCTCCTCTTCGGCCCCGCGGTGCCCGTTGGCAGCGGCGCGCAGGGCTCGGGCCGGCGCGCTGGCGGAGGTGCGCTCCCCTCCTCTCTTCGCCTGAAAGGCAGGAAAATCTGGAAGAAAAATCCCTTGTTTGTGGTGGCTACAGCTCCCGGCCCAGACCCGCTCGGAGAAATGGAAATTTGGCATTATAAACACGTGTGTGTGTAAACAAAAGGTGTTTCTTCTGTTACCCCTCTTTTCCCACAGCATAAGCAATTTTTATTCAGACTATTTTCTTTAACACTATTCCGCTGTCAAAACATTATTCCCGTTTTGTTTGCTTTTGACAGCTGAGCAGTTCTTAAAAATACCAAAATCGGAACCTTCCATGCTAAACAGTAAATCTCAGATGGAGAAATCTCTGCATGTTATTGTACCTTGGGTTTCAGCAACACATCTCGTGGAGAGCACAGCCCAAAGGGGGGGTGGGGGGGTGGGGAAGAAAATAAAAGACAACACAGCAATGCAAATATTCAGTTCATTATAAAAAAACCCAATACACTACTGTGGATAAATTCTTCCCTGTCCATCTACCAGGACAAGGACGTTTTCTGACACTTCTCCTCAAATTGTAAAGAAAAGATCTGCAAGGAAATAAAGTATTGATTAAAAAAATAATAAAATAGAAAAGCCTCCTTTTGCAAGTGCCAACACAAACAATCTCGCCTTCGTATTTTCTGCATTGCAAGAATCTGAGAATTTGGAAATGGGAACCTGGGGTGTGCTCCTCTTTTACACAACTGAGGAGTAGCCATGATTTTAACCAGGACAGAGCATCAAAGACAAGCAGGTAATTATCACCTAAATTTCATATGGGTACCTGAAAAAAATGCCAACAAAGCAGGGCCCTATTGCTAAGTCCTTTCACCCATTCTGCTGGCATCCTCCCTTCTGTCGACAGCATCGTGGGTCCATTTACTCGGCTAAGAAATTAAATATTAACTACAACGCTGAGCATCTTTACACATTTTAAAGGTAAAAGTTGTCAAAGTTTTTAGTAACACTCTGGCCAGTTGGAATGATGAGGAGGAGCAAGGAGGAGAAGGGTTACACATTGAGGGATGGTGAAGTCAGTAACGTGTGTTTCCTAGAAAGTTAAAGCAATTAGGAGCCCTGTTCCCCTCCTCTCCTCCCAGAGATAAAGCTACAGCTTTCTCAGCTCTCTGGGCCCCATCCTGCTCCCCTGACAGAGCAGTGCCACTGAGGGCAGCAAAAAGTGGCTATTTCTAGCCATGCAGATGTCTTCCTAGCACAAACACCCTTTAGTTGCTTCAAAATGCCATAAGCTTTTGCTTAAGTAAAATCAAACTCTCATGATGAATCTTCAAGAGCCATTTATATATAAAATATCAAATTAACATTTTCCCTTATTAGTTGGTGCTCCTTTTTTTTTTTTCTCTCTATTTTTCTCCTTCTGAAAACAACTGAAGAGAAAAAAAGCAATACAGCCATCTCAAAGGCTAGATTACACAATTCTCACACAGGTAAAGCTCTCATAAAACTCAAAGCTGCTTTTCTCCTCCTAAAACTTTTGAACCTACTCTTGCATTGCAGCCATTCTTCACCTCTGAGCTAAACAGCTGGGGATATGCTCTGCAGTGGTTAAGGGGGCACGTACGCATACACTTAACACCCACTGGCCTACTGGTCTGCTATCTGGGCCTTCACAACTCAGTCAGCCTTTATGTTATTAGCAGGTAGTACAGATATTAGAGATCTCTTTGAAACACAAGCTGGCGAGAGAATATTGTAAATTTTGTTTAGTCTGGCATAAATATCAATAATCAGCAGAAATAGATAACCTCAGACGTTCTTTCATTCAATTATTCTGTGAGTTCTGATGACAAGCTTGTTTCTGATTTTTCCAACCTTTCTTCTCCGTGCTGATAAGAAATTTGTTTGAGACATCTCTTCCAATAACTTCGGTCTCTCCTAAGCATGATTAAAAACACAAAAGCTTAACAAAAAATCAAAAATGAAATATTTATTACCGCATTTTGTGACTTAACACCTTTTTTTTTCTTTTTAAAACATAACGTCACAGTCCTCATACAAGTATTTTAATGTAAATTTTGACAAAGCTTAAAGGTAACAGCATTTTCTTCTAGTGAGGAACACGTGCTGAGAAAGGAAGAATTCATGGACATACAATACCAATTCCACAGCAGATCTGATACTAGCAAAAACATTCTTTTTTTTTTTTTTCAATTGAGGTAAACACATAGAATATCTAACATGAAACAATTAATAGACCGAACTCTGTACGAAGTTTGTTACAGTATTCTTGCTTTTTTTCCCCAAGCTTTGAGTTTGTGATAAAGTCCTAGGTTTGGTGCAAAGACCTTTAGTAACTTCTTTCATTGAGGAAAGCTGCCCAACTTTTAGTTTAGTTTTGTCCAAAGCCAAGGCTCAGAACTACTGGAAGAAGCTCCTGCTCTGTCTGTTGTGTCTCTTAAATCTTCACCTGCAAGCTCTTTGAAGAAGAGTCCAAAAAAGAAAAAAAAAATAGACTGGGGAGGAATGGGGAGAGACTTAATGAAGCACAAACTATAAAGATCTGTTTGAAACTAAAGGACACATTTTATGAAGGAACAAAACGAGGGAATGGCAAGGTCTTCTTGGAACAGTCTTCTGAGTGATGAGAGACCCAGCAAGACTTTTCGTCTTCATCTCCAGGGTAGTTCTCTTCTCACTGGCCGAAACAGGTCTTTCATGGATAGTGACTTCACTGCTGAACCAAAACAGTCATTCTTTTGGGAACAACACACATAGTGTGGAAAACAAGGATTTTTTTTTCTTCTAAAACTATTTGAGGCAACGTAACGGAGTGATCAACAGAAATGTACAAGTTAACTTAGTTCCTATGTTTATACTACAGTAGTTATAACTCTTGGAGTCTTTTTTTTTTTTCCAGAGGATCTGTGTACATGGACATTTTCATTTCAGTGAGCCCATGATTTCACATTTGTGTTCTTGTTTCGTTGGTCCTCTGTTGTTGATGAAAAATGACAAAAAGTAAAAAATAATCACAGCTGTCTGGAATTTCATATTAAGTGTCAACATCTGGTCAAAGTTCAAAAGTCTTAAAATAGTTTGTTTTTGTTTTTTTTTTCTTTTGTTTTGTTTTGTTTTTCCCTTGAGTTTCCTTATACTATTGGGCATGAATGTCCATAACCTGTCCACCAACACTGGGGTCTACAGAATTTAACATTGTGGGGCTCTGTGCTGACATGGTCATTCCAGGGTGGGTAGGGGGTCCTCCGTGCATCATCATGGCTGGGTGATGGGGGTGACTTGGCAAATATGAATGGATTGGGGGTCCATGTCTTAATTGAGTAGGGTGTGGGGTCATCTGGGGAGGAGTGTAACTTGGCTGTGCCATACTCATACCCATAGGACCACCCTGAGATATGTAGTCCCCTGGCATGCCTTGCAAACCTAGACAAAAAAGGAAGGAAAAAAAACCAGGTCAGATTCCTCAACGTTTTCACAATTTACCCATCTAAAATGAACAGGAAAAACAACAGACACTGCAAATCTTCCATCTAAAATTAGCTGCAGATTCTTGCCAATGTTTGCAGACATTCAAATTCTAGTTTGCATTTAATTTG